AACTCAATAATCTAAATTGCGAATGAAATTCCAAAAGGCAGAAATTGTCTCTTTAGTCCGTAAAGTTTCAAAAACAATTTTGACGAAGATACACAAAGTGCTTTTAAAATGTCCTGAATTATCTTAGCTGGACATGATGAATACACTCTAGATTAATATGATTAAAATCTTCATCAGCGTTATCGCAGCAGCAAAAAACCGTTGAAGCAAGTTTAAATCACTTAAAACTAGCTCTTAAAATTGTCATGTCCAGTTAAAAATTGATTTAATTTAGACTCTGTCGAAAAGTGTCAACTTTTATTCTGTGATAATCTATAGGAAAATATTTTTTGGTCCATTATACTTTTGGTGCCGCAAGGTATTCTGTGTTACAAATTTATATAACATCATTTCTATTTTGTTTGGAATATGTTTTAATACAAATGAAATGCGATATGAAAAATTTCTTTTTAAATTACACAGATTTATAAAATGTACTGACATGTGAGAAAATAGCTTTTAGTTGTAAATTTGTTGGTTTTACCTATCAAAAAAACCTGATGTGTACAACTGTGTACAACACATGACTTCCTTGTACGCGATATTATATTATACGCATTGTTTCCTGCATTTCGTGTAAACTTATTGGATTGAATTAAATCTACTTCATTGACAGCGCATAAACCACAATAGAATAAAGAAACTATTTAAATTTCACTATATTTGTTTAACATAGCGACACTCTGGCGCTAGGTTCACTTAACAGCGTTACATTTCGTTCAAATTATAAATCAGAATGAACAAAATTATATCATTTGAAGAATTATCTAATCGTTGCCACATGTTATATTCAAATATTATAATAAGTTTAGAACGATGTTATAAAAGATGTTATAAATTAAGCATACAAAACCAAAAAGAAAGTTTTTCACAGACGATTCAATATTTCTTATTCAATTAATTCAGTTCTCACTTCCTGACAAGGCAAAAATATATAAAAACTCAAAATATCTATATTAAAAATTACGAAATAAATCTTAAACACTTCTTTCCTCGAATAAATTCCAGAACAGATAAAACATGATTTAATTCGCAATAACAAAAGAATGCATTATCTTTGTTGTTGCGAAGCTTAGTTTACAAATATATAAGAGTACAAAATCTGAGATCACTGAGGCGGTTAATAGAATGGATATATATATTTATTTATTTATTTATTTATTTATTTATTTATTTATTTATATAAATTTGGTGCTGCTGATTGCAGCCAAAATACGAGGTACACATCTACATGTTATAGCAGTCCTATATACAAAATTTCAACGTTCTGAGGCTACTCGTTGAGTTATGCGAGATACGTACGTACATATATACCTACGTACATACGCCACGAAAACTTCTCTTCAGAATTCATTTTAAATCAGTTTTATAATTTTGGGAAGAGGAAAGAGTCTTTTATTCTGTCCTTATGTACAGATATCACGCAAAAACATCGTTAAATTGCATTCGAAAGCAGTCAAAATGGATATTTTCGTTGAAATATTATACCTGAAAATTTTCGGGATTTTAATAATTCCTTTTTCCTTCGTACAAGGAAGTAAAACAAATGACACCAACAATGACTAATTTCAAGTCAAAATTGTCAAAACGAAGTTGAGGTTATTACTAGTGATCGTTTTTATATATGCCATTTGCCAGTTGTCACTTCTAGTTTTGCTTAAAATTTTGTTAACATCCAATAAATTCTCTTGTGGGCTTCCCACGGTTTTATTTTCAGTCAAATATACCCAAAACTTTTGTGCTTTCTAAAAACCTCTAAACTTTCAGTACATTTAAAAAAGATAGCTTAGCTAAGAAAGTGTATATGTCTATATGTGGATAAATAATTGTAAAATTCAATCTTTAAAACATATTCCTACCGAATAGTAAAAACGAAATATCACGGAGTAAAACTAGATTAGAATGGAGTAAAACTAGATTAGAATGGAATAAAACAAAATAAAACAAAAATCAAAAGAACTCTTTAGTGTGGAATAGTTATTTCAGTAACTACATTGCACGAGAGTATAATATAGATCAGAAAAATTATAAATCAATAAAAATACAAAATATATGCAACGTAGTATCTTAGTAAAATATATGTAACGTATTACAGACTTGTCGAAACGGTAGGACGCACCTATGACTTTCGGAATTATATGCCAATGGTAAGGTCGAAAATGAAATTTTAATGTTATAGTCTGTGTAGAAACATCAGAAAGAAAACAAAAAATTAAAATCTGAAAGGGTTCAAATTTTAACGTTCACCCAAAAGGATACCAAAAGTTTAAAACAGTTCTTCAGAGATTATCAATACAGATGGCTCAGATGAAACAGCAAAACATTTTATAACATATTAGATGATTATGAATTTTGACTAAAAGGAAATATTAAATTTTCTTTGTTGAGATTTAGTTAAATTTTGTTGGTGTATAGCAAAACTAGCATAGCACCAAAAGGATAATAACGAATGGTTATGCCAAAATTTTATCCCAAAGCGTTTTATTTACAGAATATTTTTAATCCACTTGAACTGAGTTATAAATGCTTAAAGAAATTTAAAGATAAAACGCTTTCTTAGTTAAACTAAAACATGGTTTATTACATGTTTATTTGATTTGACGTTTTCCAGTAGACTACTTTCTCCTAGAAACTGTAGGTTTGAACTGTTTTCTGAACTAATTACCTCACTGTAAACTTTATATCTATCTTTTATATAAATCCAATCACTTCCTAAAATAGTTATGAAAATATGTATCATCTTAATGTTTTAAATAACTAAGAAAGAAATCGATTTTATGGCGAAATTTAATAAATTATTGTCGTTACGATTGGTTCAAAAAACCTTCAAAGAAAGATTAATTTTTTTACATGGCACTTGAACACGTAAATTTATCCCTTTCGTCCCTTATTTTGTAGTATTCGCTGTTTCGGATGGATTAGGAATATGAAATCATAAATACAAGAAATTCACACAATGTATAAAATACAATAAAATTACGTCTTTATCTGGCGTTGATTTTGCATGAAAAAAATGCTACGTTTTAGAGAATATTCAAGTTTTATTTCGATTTAGTTTGAAAGTATTAAATCATATGCAAGATACTTTAGTCAATAGTTTTATTAATGAAAAACATAAAACGTCTAATTCCTTAAATTACAATGAAAATTCAATAGATTTAAATTATAACAGCTTATATGACTTTATTATTAGCGTATATAACTTTAATTCGGATATTTAATGAATAATTAAGAAGAAGTAACATCTCGTGTTAGTTATTCAAATTTTGCAAAGCTGAATATCATCACATCACTATAGGAAAAAAAATCAGTAAATAATCTGATTTATCATTTATCAATAGTACTATGTAAAAAGGTAACTACAACGTCAAATAATTAATAATGATTGTCATCTATGTATTATTAGTTAATATCCAAAACAGATTCCAGTAAGTTGAACAGAGTTGAAAGAAAACCAATATTTATACCCTCTCCTACAGTTATGTTAATCCGATGTTGCAGTTTTATATACGATAATTTCACATTATATTCAAAAGGAAAACTCCTATAACTTTTATGAATTTTTAATACTGTGTATTGAATATTACTATGTTCAATATATGTTTGTATTTAATATATGTTTGTATTTAATATATGTTTGTATTCAACATATGTTGCATACATCATAATTCTGTCAACACCAGAAAATTGCATTTTGTATCCGCATCGCAAATAAGTATTTGTATTATTAATCAGTAAATAGCATTCCTAGCACATAAAGTAGGGGGAAAATGTTCGTCGAATATTTCATAAATAAAATATAAAACGTCACTAACATTCTAGCTGAATTTTATAAAATTAAATTTTCCAATTGCAGTTCTTAAAATACACTTGGAATGTGTGATTAAAAATGTCTGATATTTAACACTTTTAACAACTTTTCTTTTTGATTCAGAATTGTAAAATTTAATTTGTCACATTTATATCATATGACAACATAACATCGATATATTCCCTCAACTGACGGCAATCTTAATGAAGGAAACTCTTTTCTATACGTATTGCTGTGTTATGTTCAATTAAATCAGTTTTAGAAAGTTCGGTAAATTTTATAACAGCAAACATTATCCAATTAACGTGATATGATTAATTAGTATTGCTACGTTTACTGTCTAAACAATAACATAATATATTTATATAGCCATTAAATTTATAATTAATATAATATCACCAAATTGAAAATAAGACAGAAAAAAATTGCATCTTGTCGAATATTACATTTTCGCATGTGAGTGTAACTGAACACAAATAAATACGTGAGGATTATTTACAACTGAACTCTTATAGCTCTCATTTCTGAAAGTGACATTTATATCAATTAACGTAGGTAAGTAGTTTATTTTAGATTGTCTGTAGTATTCTTCATGGCCTCCATTGAAGATGAAACATTTTCTGGAAACTCCACGGTCTTTTTACGAAAGTTAGACTGCTTATTTACACAGCTGTTTAAGTGAATAGAATTATCGTATATTTCCCGCCATAAAATTACTTTTGTTGTTTCGTACATATGAAGAATATCACAAAGAAAGAAAATCACAAATCAAGCTAAAAAAATTAAACATTTTAGGTTATTCAAATGTCATTAACTTTTTTAACTGCTACAGTTAATATTTAAGTGCAAACCTGTTTAAAATACAATTATTTTAGGAAAATATTATATAGTTTCTCCAAAAATAGTTTCTTTAGATGTTAAATATTTCTCGCCTACGTATTAAGTACTGTGCTATGATCTTAGTATCATACGATAACATTAAATTTGGACTACAATATTTAAACGAGAGATTGGAACATATTTAATTTAATATTGCGCAACTTAAAGAAACTTAATTTAGTTAAAACAATAAGCACTACGTACCGAAAACTTTTCCCTTTTGTCACGTAAAGGGAAAACACGGAAAAAGAAAACCAAAACAGAAACTTACTGCCTCCCGGTTTGTAGACGAGATATCCGGTAAGTTGCGTTCTCTCGGCCATGCTTCCACCTTCACTGACCTCTTTCAGTAGGGCGCCTGCATGCCGGACAAGGACACGTGCGATATACTAAAGTCCGGGAGCGTCGCTGGCAAATGTTTGTCTCCTGCGTCCGGTGACACTTCTAGCAGTGCCACTGAAGAGCCAGCGCTTCAGGGAGGAGCGTGGAAGACCTCGCCGAGCAGCGCGCGCATCGTTACCACCAAAGAAAGTTGTCACATTTCTCTGCGAGGGATAGAGAGAGGTACAGGTAGAGAGAGAGAGAGAGAACGAGAGGGAGATAGAGAAGGCGGCGACATCTGGACTGAAGAGAGTTCGCCTTCCTTCTCGCGAAATAGTTCGATCGCTTTGCGTGAAGTTCGGAAACTGTTTCGTGAGGTTTTGAGTACTACAGCCACGCAAGTAAGCGATCGGAAGACTGTTCTTTCTTTTGATCGTTTTTCCTCAGATACATAAAAGAATGTTTGCAATAATAACTAATGTACACAGAAGTGGGTTTTGTTAAATAATACATAAAACCGATCCATGGAAATGCTTATAGATCATGCGTTTTCAGCAGTTTCAGAAAGAAACGTTGTCAGAGTATCTAGCGAGGAATTAATTTCGGGAATAATTGCTTAAATATTATACTTACTAGAAAACTTTTGTTTGTCTGAAAAACGGATAGAAATAATTACGACAAAAATTAGCACGAGCTTTGCTTAGTTTTATGTACAACAATTATTGTGATACCTTTTAAGGTTTATTTTATTTAATACGTTATTTCACATGTGCACTCTTTCCCGCACTTTTACTTCTTTGATTAGTCCATTAAGGGGACTCATACACCTTAAACACCTCATGATCTTCGAATATGTGACTTGCAAGAATTGGGATATTTTATTTATTTTAAAAACAATTACTTCCAACTTTTTACAGCTGACTGCATAATATAGCTGCTTTGGAAACAAGTAACCAGAAAGTTTGTGTTGCCACAAATATTTTTGTAATTGAATCCTCTTTCTGACAAAATATTTCGCCATGTTTCCACCTTGCGCGCATGATATTTTAAAAATGGCTAATGGATACATACTTGAAATTTGATGGAATTCTTTATATGGGCACTATTTTCTAACTGAACCAACAATCTGATGAAATATTTTAATACTGAAAAAATTTTATGGACGAAAATATTACACATCTTTTTAATAAAACACATTTCATAAATTCAACTCCAAATAGAAATGAAAATTTTAACATGGAATTCTTAGAAAGTTTTAATTCACAGTCAGTTTCCAAATGTTGTAAAATCTATATATTAAATATGCAATTAAATTATGCGACACAATGTTTTAAACTCTGCGCGCAAGGTGGAAACATGACGAAAAATTTTGTTACAGAGTGGATTAAATTATAAACATATTTGTGGCAACACAAACTTTCTGATGACTATTTCAGAAAGCAGCTATATTATGTAATCAGCTGTAAAAAGTTGGTAGTAATTGCTTTTAAAATAAATAAGTTATCCCAATTCTTGCAACAGTCACCTATTCGAACATCTTATGGGTTTTAAGGTGTATGAGTCCCCTTAAAAATATAAATGAAGTGAATCACAACCTGCCGTAATGAAACTCTTGCGTTGCCGCTTGTCTTAAAAAGGCTATTTTAGTATAAATTACCGAGTTCATCTATAATAGAAGGTACGTTAAAAATCCTGAGATAGCGGAGCAACGATGTCGTACTTTAAATTTAAACTTGTATATAGTTTGAATCAAACTGGAAGATAAAGATATCAAAATTAAACTCAGTTAGGCAAAACAGAAACCTTATTTTGAAGTTGATTTTATATAAAACTGTATGAATTTCGAAGACAATCAGATATAGCTTTTTGTTCTTTAGAATAAAAATAATTCAGCAAAAAGAACCAACCGATCTATGGCGTCGATAACCGATGGATAGTACTCGCCTCAAATATTGCATAAAAGAACGATATATGCGGCTCAGTACAGTAATGTCACCTGGGCGCGTGTTAGTCAGGTATATACCATATTTTGTATATACCTGACTAACAGTTTTCCATATAGAGGTAATGCAGGTGCTGGTAAAAGGGGTGTAAGCATTATCAAGTGCGCTCTTATCAGGCACCTAATGGACTTTAAAGAATAATATTGCAATCATGAAATAAGTCAGAAAATAAAGTTGCAATTTTTAAATCGATAACGTAACTGAGCTGAAGCGCATATTCAGGGTGTTACATCTAAGGTCGAAATTTATGCAAAAAGAGAAACTGGAGCTTGGTGGATTATTGTATACTCTGTATTAACCCAAAGGCCTGGGGTTAATGTCCTAAGGCGTTGGCTACTACTCGAAATCATCAACAAAATGCAAACAGCGACAACTGCATTTATATCGAAGAAAATGGGTGGAGGGAAGGGAACGCTAATGTAGCGCCATCTATAAATGTTGTTGTTGTTGCCTCTATGATAAAGCCTATTCAACTAGTGCCATGGGCGGAGGTGAAAACCCTGGCAATCTTCAAAATGTTATCATCACAGAAGTTCTATCTCTTAAACAAACGCTCAATTTACGAATATATAAAAATAAAAAATCTGAGCTAACCGAGTGGCAATATATATGTTACGGTGAAACACCGAAATCTGGAGAATGTCGACTTTCACTGGTGAATGTCAACATTCACATAGTCTCTTGGTGTATGTCCGAAATATTTTCCAAATACTCTTATTTCTGACTTACACCGGTCAATGTCTCAATGTCGACATTCACCATGTACTAAATGGTGAATGTAAAACATATAACAATATTATATTTTATTTTCTTCTCCATAATTCAGTCGCGAATAAACGCACTTGATTCTTGAAATAAGAACTTAAGAACATGAGAACATAAAACACACAATACATTCAAAATGAGAAAGGAAAATAATATAAGTTAAAAACTTACTTAATTATACAGTACGTTCTAAATGAGAAAATAAAATAACAGTCATAAAAAACTTACTAAATTATGTGATTCAAATCTTTATTTATTGCAACAGCTTAAACTATCATGGCACTTTATGACCTCTCTTTTCGACTTTCACCAGAGCATATCTGTGATTGTCGACATACACCGGTGAGGGTCCGAATATACAAGAATGTAGTGAAATATTCGGTCTTTCACCGACGTAGTATTTGGTGAATGTTGATATTCTCCGGTGAAAGTCGACATTCTCCAGTTTCGGTGTTTCACGGTAACATATATATATTACCACTGTGTTACCCGGCTACTCATTTTGAGTCACGCGCGATACATATGTACATACGTACAGTCGTCATGAAAAAAAAATCTCTTCTGAAACCATTTTAAATCCATTATAACAATCCTTTTCGGTAAAACGAGTTCTTTATTCTGTCCGTACGTACAGAAGTGACGCAAAAGCATCCTTCAAATGAATTCAGCAGCGGTCAAAGTGGACATTTTCGTTGAAATATGATCTCAGAAATTTTCCGCGATTACAATACTTCCTTTACTTTCTAAATGGAAGTAAAAAATTTTAAGAAGCTTAATTATTGTAGATTTGCAGCAATGTCACGAAAATTCATGACATCTCGTATATCAGAGATAATATAATTATATGACTCAGGACACTGAACTGATTGGCACTTATAAGCTTGTAACATTAACGAACTGATAACAACTGGTACTTCTAAATTCAAGAATATTTCGGATTTTACGGAATATTTACATACAAGTTATGCATATGGATTTTATTTTACCTTAAAGAAATATATATTACCCTTTTTTATATTTTAAATAAGAGTTAATTATTTAATTTTATTTAACTACATATAAATTTCTAATAAAAGATTAATAAATTCATTTTAATGATTCAAAAGGTTAATAATAAATTCACACTGCCTGCAAAAAAATATCAAACTTTTAACGAATCACAAGTCCCATAGAGACCGATTGGTTAAGAGAGCTCACTACTGGTGGTTTGACATGTGTTATATACCCATGCGAATGAGCTGGCTGCATGAGTGTTTTTCGTTATCTTTCTCATATACAATATGAGCAAATCCAGTTTCCCTTGCAGGAAGCTCTCCACGAAAGCATCCCCTTCTTCCTTCCCCTTTTTTTTTAAAAAAAAAGCTAAAAAACGCAAAGAAAAGTAATAAAATAAAACAAATTTTATTAAAAGTAAAAGAATAAAGAAAAATAGATCTTTCTAGTATTTAATTTCTTACATGCATTCAAGATTTGCTTGGATACGGACACATTAGCGCATATGTTATCTTAGTTTCGCTTATTAAAAAAAATTCAAAATTAGTATGTGTAATATTTATTGTGGGTTATTGAGTTTTATAGCACATGTGCCGTGTGAAATGAAACCGTGTGTAAAATAATAATTATTTAGCAAGGTATGACACGTAGGTGATGAAATTACACATGTGCTGGTTTCTTGTAGGCCATTTCATTGTCCATCACCCCCCCCTTTTTACTTCTTTGTACGAAGTAAAGGAAGTGCTGTAATCTCGAAAAATTTCGGGTATCACAGTTCAACGAAATATTCATTTCAACTGCTCGAACAATGTATTTGCGTGACGTCTGTACGTATGGACAGAACTGTGTTTGCGTCTAAACGGACTGTAAATTGCATTTAAAAAGGATTCAGAAGAGATTTTTTTTTCTTAGTCCGTACGTATGTATGCATTTATCTCACAAAACTTAAAAACTGAATATCAGTAGAATGCTGAAATTTTGTATATGGGACTGCTATAATACGGTAGTTGTGCACCTCCCTTTTTCTTTGCAATCGGCTGCATAAATCTTATATAAATATATATATTTCCACTCTGTTACCTTGCTACTTAAGTATAGTTTTTTTATTCTTATATGTTGGTGAACTGTGCATGTTTTGCTTTAAAAGTAATTGAATTGTGTGGTTTTATGTTCCGGTTGAGGTTTTGATGCCTTTAGTTAACCTGCATGCAATAGTTATAGAATATCATCAATTTAAAAGTTTAGGTGGCGAGTTAAGCCTAACGAACCGCCATTTGTTTACATTTGAAACTCAGTAGCATAGTGATTTAAGTCAGTTTTGACACCTTCAATGTCTTTTTGCAGAGTGGGATCAAAAGTCACGTTTCATCAAAA